CCCTCGCTGCTCCCCTCCCTCTGTCGGTCCTCGGGCTCCAATCCCCACGTCCCTCCCGCTCCCCGCCCCTAGTCCTCCTCTCTGCCTCTTCTCCCCACCTTCTCCCGCGAACTCACACTCACCGAGCTGAGAGAGACGAGCGCGCAGAGACTGGCAGAGAGGCCGATTCGGGAAGAGACAGAGTTTTGGAGAAAGACAGACACCGAGGGCGCAAGGATAGGAAGGTCTCAAAGTCCGGGAGAAATCCAGAGGTGGCGACAGATTGTCAAGGAGCGAACGACCTGGTTGGGCCGGGCGAGCCAGACCCCCGCAGAAGAAAAGGCGGGCATAAGTGCAGAAGGGACTGGAAATGGGTATAGAACTGCCTCGCAGCCTCAGCCTGGCAGGCCCCCGCCACAGGAGTGTGTTTGAAGCTGGGCCTGACTCCCCGAGTGACCTGGCAAAATTCAGGCACCTCCCCGCCCGCGTGTCTGAATCAAGTGAAGACACTTGGTGTTACTGTGTCCCAAGTCTCTGGACACTCTGCCTTGACCCTCTGCCCCGAGAGACAGCTCCTGGGCCACCTATTCTCCCAGCGTATTCACAGCCAGGGCCCAAGCAGGCGCAGGCTCCCACTCCCAGTCCAAGCAGCTGCAGTCATCTCATCCATTACTCTTGTTCTGGAGCTGGACCATCATCCACTCCCTGGGAGACTTCTAAGGTCTTCCTTACATTCACTTCAAATTCCAGGTCTCCAAAGGAGATGGTCTAATCTCATCCCTTTCTTCCTTCGTTTTTATTAAATTTTTTAGAGTTTTTTTCTATAGGGCACATGCACTTGCTGGAGAGACAGAAGAGGGAGAAATCACCCCCTAGAGAGGGTGGCCACGGTATAATAATCCCTTCTCCATTTTCCTGGGACCTTCTGCATGCAGGCACAGGCTCTGGGCTTGAAATTTTACTTTTACTATTTTTTTAAAAGAACTATTATTTTATTTAACTTTATTTATTTATTTGATCAGATAGGAACAGAGAGAGAGAGAGAGAGAGAGAGAGAGAGAGCCA